GTATTACACGCTGATAATTATAGACTGTATCACCAGTTACGATTCACTATCCTTGTTCTATATTTTTCTCTTTCTGTTATCGTTATAGTCTTTTGTCATCTTCTATATACTATACCTAGTGCGCATATTACTAAAAGAAACATTACATACAATAAGAACGAAATCCATTGTTTTTCTTTATTCTGTATTTTTCGTTTAGTTTAGTTTAAACTTTATTCATTTAAGAAAGAGAAATAAGAATTCTACACAGATGCGGTCTAGGCCATTATATTAGAGAAAAGACATATCAAATGATATAGAGTCATATGGGGTAATTCGGGCCACTTTCACGAAGTTTCTCAGTGTTTAGTGTATCCCTAAGGCGTTTTTGATCGGATAAGCGTGCTATTGCATATAAAGGTACAATCAACATTTATCTATCGGTTGATGTAAAAATCTGCTGAAAATCCCTGTCCGTTTTCGAGCAGTATTCAAAAGGAAACAGGGACCTCCAAACCGGCCCGAATTACCCCATATGACTCTAAGCGATTACGGATAAAACGTTTCTCTCCTTCATGTTAAAGTGTCTAGTAGATATACAAAAAAAAAACTGTTAGTTAGTTTTGTTTCGTTAAGAGATCATTCTGACCTTCAGTGTGATCAATATTTATCTTCGTCTCCTCTCTATTTTCATTCTCCACATAAAAACGTCTTTCCCTGCAGGGAGTGCAGGTAGGAAAACATTCTTCTTTATCTGCCGGCCGTTAGTGGAAATTTTTTTTATTCACCTGCAAACTGCAACCTGCCTGCACTGCCTGCAGCTTGCAGGCAGTTTACCATGCAGGTGATCAGCTCTAGTTCGGTCATCGTGACCAATTGCATTACGCTCAAATCGATAGAAACTAGACAATAAGTATATTGACTCTCATAATTAACGTTGATGAACAGAACGTGCCAGAAGCGTAGAGAAGAGGAAAGATTCAATAGCAACGAATATACAGCAGCTTAATTGCCTGTTCTACGAACTTTCATATGACTGTTTTCGGTTTGCAAAGCTTCGTAGATGTAACGACAGCCTAAAATCCGGTTTCTCAATTGTTAAACACCCTAGAGCACCAACTAGTTAACTATTGTGAAACGAAAAAATTATTTTAAGCTTTTTATGAATTTCGAAAACTTTTAGAAAATTTCGATCGGAAGATCGGATTAGCAAGCACCTCTAATAGAACGCCATTTTAAAACGTTTGATCTACTAGGACATAGTAGAAGGCCATGCCCTTCTATTTAGGGGTGGGGAGTAATTGAGAAATTTATATTTCACTCAAAATCAATCATAATTGTATCGTACGATTTTGTCGAGTTTTTCAGGAATCCAGTTTTCCAAAAACCTAGACTATATATAATATTTTTCATATTTGAATCTTTCTCAATGCTAAAGACTCGCCATACTAACAGAAAGAGTTGCCTCAAAGCCGGGCGTAAAAGTTTATCTGTAAAATCAATATTCGAAATTCAAATTCATCAGTTATCACGTGCACAAAAAAAAATTAATTAATAACATAAAGGAAACTATAATGATCTAAAAAACCGAAATATTTACAGTCAGTTGCCAAACGGCAAACTTCTTTTTGTTACTTTTTAGTGATTTGTTTTAGATTCTGCACGCCTTCTGTGTACGATTGTTTATGTGTTTTAACGTCACTGGGAACGATTTTCATTATAACTCTGGTACATAAAAATTAGAAAATAATACGCTTCTAAGAGTCAGAAATAAATCCTGTTCTGTATATGGTTGTCATGTGTGGATTTAGAATATGTCATGATTACGAAAAAAATCTCTCAGGTCAAGTCAAGTCTACATCTCAAAAATGTTTCGGCCACGTCAAGTCTGACTTGATTTGGACTTGAGACATTTTTGACTTGCCTTACCCAGCTCTGGCCAATTCGAACAAATTTATATCTCTTTTGAGAACCTTCGATTATAAATATATATTATAATTAAAAATCAAATGAGATAGACTGATTAATTGATTCATCTTGAATCTTAGCGTGTTTGCGTTTTTACATAAACCTATAGCTTACCTTTCAATAATATTTTTTGGTATTGTTTTATTTGGTTCAATATAATATGTTGAACTAACATAACATATTTGATTTGTATATTCGATATAAGATTTAATAAAATTGGCTCTATTCCAACATTCGATTCTATCATCGTCAAATTGTCTCGTTGCTGTTATTACCGAACATAATATTAAGAATGCTACTGTATATTTATAATTAATCATATCAAATGCATCGTCATCTGTTCGAAGGGTAGACAACAATACCGTTGGTACCAAGGTGATTAAATATAGTAAATCGATCATAATTTTAATAAATGAATGAACAACAAAAAATGTATATAAATATTAAAAAAAGCGATTATATCACATATGAATAATTTTATTACAAAATTGATCACAGATGATAGAACATAAAATAATGGATAATCAACTACTTTTATATTAACATCCCGCTTAGCTTCTTTCGTATAATGATGATTATATAAAATATTGATAACTTTATTTTTTAAAGAATAAGAAAATAGCAATCGTTAATCGATTATACGAGACACATACCAAAGAGGTTTCATACATAATACAAAAAATCATTGGTTAAGGTACACAATTAAATTTTACAGAGTTTGATCTATAAAAAATGTATGCCATTTTCTGCATAATATATGGTATAGATCAATGAAAATCAAACAACATTTGGTGTATGTAATATATACAAATCTAGAAAGAAAAAAAACAAAAAAGACTTTGTTATTACTGCTCGAATGCAAAGACCCTCGACTATATATTAATAAATCAAAAAGTAATAGAGAAAAATTTTTTGTAAGTAGATTATTTACTGAATATATTAGAAAACAAAACGGTTTAATCACCTTTCAATCATCGAATGGTTTCGAAAAGTCAAGAAGCTATATAAAATATCAAATTTTTTGTAAACAATATTAAAATTATTGACATACATAATATACATCATTGATTAATTAATGAGTTGAAAAATTCGTTTCGATTTCACATTTTTCAATCCATTGTTAGATAAAAAGTTTATGTTAACAAATAAACTCTTAAATTTAAGTTTAAAAGACAATTAATAAATATCATTAAACCTATCATGTAAGAATATTAAATAAAAATAAATATTTCATATCACATTTTAAGTATGATGTGAAGTTTTTTTTTTCCTTTTCATATTCTTTTTTATTACCCAGAAACAGAAGATAAAATTTTATAATGTATAAAATAATGTATAAAATTTTAAGTTGAAAAATGATTATATGATACTTTTCTCTCTTCCTTCTTTGTTTTTTCGTAACAAGCAGTCAAATATAGTGGTGTAATTTGAGTTACTTATATCGTAACCAAAGTTATCGTTATATACTTCTTCTCTATATTTCCAGCAGGTATATACGATAGCATAAAAAAAACAAAAAAAAAACAAACGAAGCACAATCAGAATTATTAAGTAAAGTGTAGATTAATTATTTTTTTCTTTTCAATATCTAAAGAATATGCCGACAATTTCTAGATTGTATGTATCTCTTATTTCAAATTTTTTTTTTCTCATTTAATAACAGCAATTGACATTCAAAAAATGTGTACGTTTTTCTTTTAGTTGTGTATAGGGAAAGGAGGCGAGAATAATAATTGTCTAAAACAACTTTTCTTGCTTTTTGCACTATTTGACTATTTGAGTGAGAAAAAAAAGTAACACAAATTTTATGTATACACCTGATCTTTATTTTTTTTCTCGTCCTAATTGCATCGCGATAAAGCAACATTTATTATTGCTCCAGTCCTTGTTAGAGAACATATATATATTCTCCGTTTCTATTTCTTCTTCATATATACATAGTACAGAGCCTTTTTTTGTGTATCAGGAGTTAATAAGAAAACATGTGATGGGAGAATATCGGGACTATGATATCTGCGGCAACATTCATTTAAGCAAAATCAAGAATTGACACTTCAATACTTTTAAAAAACCCAAATTGTCCAATAACCTTCTTTTTTTTTTTATAGAGAATATAATTAGCGTTCTCTATGTTCGTACATATAATGTTAATAGTTTTCACATTGACCATGAAAAAAATAAATATAACTAACAGTAATCGTCTCCCGCCATCTTTTTCAACTCGTCCTGTATGGGATGGATCTTGGCCAGGAGAAAAAGCATAAACTGTCCGAAGTCGGATCAGAGTAAACAAGCACGGTCTGTATGTCAGCCCGGAGAATGTATTGTACACGTTATACTAATGTAAGAAATATTAGAAGCAGTAGTTCTGGTGATATATCAGTAGGACGTAGAGCATGAGATCCGATTTAATATTAAGTAAGTATTGACTGCCTCGACTGGTAGGGACGTTCTAAAAACAGTTGAAGAATATGCGGTCAAAGAACGACTGATTTTTAGAGAGAAAACAAACAAAGGTACAACAAGCCAATCCATGATCACTCTTCACTGACGTATTAGAAGATATTGTGTTTTTAGCAGAATTTTGTAAGAAACGCCTAGTTGTATAATAACTTATTCAACTATTTATAGTGATCATCCACAATAAACTATCACATTGTTGGTTTTCTATCAATGTAAAATACAGAGAAGGATAAATAAGAAGAGACAAGCGAACTAAGAGATATTGAAATACTGCCAACATTTTAAATTGGGATTCAAACAGGGCATGTTAAACTTCAATATTGCATCTGTCTATTAATATAGAGTATTTAGTTTGAATAAATAATTTCCAGTCAGAGAACAGTTTTTCAAGTAATATAGACCTTTTCTAACTTTGAATCAATTTTTTCATAAAACTAATGCTATCTTCGGAATCAGGTTATCAAACTACGTTGAACCAAAGTATACACACTGCGCCTCTTCTGTACCAAGCAAAAGCTATGCGAATGGGACGCAAAACCTATCAATCTTCTCGAGATTTCAGAGTCTTTTTTTTGCAAAAAAAATATTTCGTGAAACATTCTCACATTTGAATACGATACTCTTTATGATTTATCGTCGTTAAAAATTTAAAGAGTAAGATGAAATATTCAATAAATTGCATATATAGTAAATTTATAGACGTTTTTGTTGATGGATTAATGTACATTGATGATTGCAATGTAAACTTTACCTGTAATTTATGTCATCATAGTAAAAACGAATTTGTTTTTTTGATCTGTTTTTAATATGCTGTTCCCACCAGGTATTATTCATAATCAAATTGTAAGCCGAAATATTAATGATTATTTAATGATGGACGTTAACAAAGTTAACATGCTCCAGCGTAACATTTCCTGTATTTTCTATTCCAAAAACGACAATATTGTTTAACATGTTATAGCATTTGCCAAATGGACAGGTTCTATCACATTTAAAAGGTTTTATGATAAACAGCTTCAGAAGGAAACCAATTTCCAAGCACGAATAGGATTGAAATAAACAGCGTTAAACATACATAATTAACGCTTGTAGTTACATACTGAATTTGATGAAATAAAATAGAGAATTTTATTAATGTGTGAAACACGCGATATGAAATTGAAATTTTATAAATAAAATTCAGTAGGTAACTGCAAGTCTCCCACCCATCACAACCCTAGCTCATACGATCATAACTAAATATGCTCGTCTTTGCTTTCTTTTAGAAATCAGCAACATTAGTTTTGAAATTGGGCAGAACTGTGGGACGGAAGCAATAGTAACGGAATCGATCAAATACCTACCAAAGCAAGACGTTACGTTCATGTTCAATAGACTGAATTGTTTTAAAAGTACATAATGAATAAAATATAATCAGTAGGAAAATAATAATAATAAAAAACGATAAAAATAGAAAATCATATGGCTCTGTTCACACTATCCCATGCATGGAGAAATAGTCGTTTTTCTTTGAATGGCTTGGTTTATGCAAATATGAAGGGAATACATAATTAACACTTACAGTTACCTACTGGATTTTATTCATAAAATTTCAATTTCATATCGCGTATTTCACACGTTAATAAAATTCTCTAGTTTTTATACTTCTTTTAAAAGTTCTTTATATTTATCACATATAGAAAACATGTATAATGTATATAGTGACACATGCTGTGAACTAGCATATTACTTTTTTTTTTGACTTTCCATATATTGTTAAGCCCATAGGCTGTTACAAAAAAGAGTAAGAATGATTAACAGATATACCATACCAAAATTTACAGTAAAGCAAAATAATAAATTTTTAACATACATATACCCAGTTATACACTTAACTAATGAGAGGCTAATAAAAAAAAAGAACACCATTATACTATGCATACTGGAAGACCAGAAATCACGTCCGCAACAAATCTACCCTGCCATCTTCTCACCACACACACTCAACAAATTTATATATTAAGTTCTTTCTTTAACAAAATCTATCCAGATTGCCAGTACCAACACATAATTGATTCTTTTGTCTATTAACCCTCTTGAAGGAGAAATAGTTGCCCACTCCCAGTAGCTTAGCGGGATGGTATTGGTCCCAATAAAAAACGTCCTCGAAGATAGGGGATGTACTGAGGTCCGAGTCGTAGCTTCGCCTTAGTCTTATTTCAAGGAATCTAACTATGTAATCCTCCAGCTGATCTTCCTTGTAAAACTCGAAAATTTCCTCTGCTTCGACAAGTAGACAATTATAAACTATCCTCATCCCTACTCTAAATACTGATTTAACAGTTCGACGTAAGTGTTAGGTAAAAAGGGGTAAATAGGAAAAATACCAGAGAAGAAGGGAAAGGAATAAGCGAAAAAACACTGCCGTCATAGTTTAATAGAAACTGCATCGCCCTTGGATAGCCATTTTAACTTAGAATAAGATTTTTGAATTTTATTTATTGCTGCGTCTACTGTTGGTTTAAACGACATTTTATCTGAGGCGTTGAAACCTAAATATTTAAAGGCTACTATTTGCTCTAATTTGTGACTTGCCATTTTTAATAATACTGGAGGTCTCTGAATCTGACTATGAAAAATTTGGTAAACTGTTTTATTAAAATTAATAGGTTGGTTGTTCATGGTCGATTGAACGTTGTAGAATGTGGGCACATACCCGATTACCCTCTTTTTCGAGAAACTCTAACATCTCCAGCTTTGGTCTAACTGGTGGAGTTCTTGTAACTTGAAGGTCGTCGGCGAAAATTCCGGAAGAATGTGCGTCCAACTTAACGGGTAAGTCACATTGGAATATGATAAATAGAAGGGGACTTAAAAGAGCAACCTTGAGGAAGTTCTATACCGATCACAAAGAAGTTTGAACTAATGTTTCCGAAAATTATTCTTGCCGTCCCGTTTA